CAGGAATGCAGAGTGTTTACACAGAAGACTTGGGGGGCACAGCAGGGAATCACAGCACCATGTGGAAAGTCCCTTTCTGAGGGACCTTGAATGCCCCTGAACTAGAGCAGCATATAGACAAAGCACCAAACCCCATAAGGCCTTACTTGCTCCCTCAAGCACCAGTCCAGGTGACTCTGCCACCCAGAGAGACATGACCACGGCCAGAGACGTGCAAATCGGGAACCAAGCCTCACCTCCTGAAGGTCAGGTTTGATGTGCCATCGCTCCCCACCAACTGCACAGGAAAGTTAGGAAACTCCCCTCCTAACTTAGTACTTCGACTAGGTGTTCCCCACAGCCTACCACGAGCGCTTGGAGATCCCAGATATTGCAGGGCTGTGATGTGCAGAGCCATCCCAAATACACAGCTCAGATACCGATACGGGTCATGCGCAGTTCAGCGGAGAAGAGCTTGTTCCTGCAGGTTCAAAGCACCTGCTGCCTTCAGGCATTTTAGTTCCACCACAAGCAATCAGCTGGTCAGAAAGCGCCTTCTGTAAGTGACAGTCTTCCCAGCCTCGATCTTCCCCTAGGACCGTCCAGCTCAGCCAACAGAAACAGGGTTCTTGTGGAAGGAGGCCTCACTGGCACTCCCTCCAGGACACACAGCAACCCCCCTGGATTCACAGTGACATTTAATCCCTGCTTTGACCAAATATTCACGTTTGAAAGAAGCAAAAGGCTTTCTTGCCACATTCATCTGAAGTGGAAAACATCAACCCGCAGAGCTGGAGTTCCCCTAAGCTGCTGCTGTCCGTGAGGTCATGTCACGACTGCGGTGCTGCAGCTCCGCTGCTTCTCCACACCGATACAAGTGCCCCACGTTTATGCCATCCTACGGGTCAGGACTCCCCAGCCTCTGTTTCAGCATCAAGTACTGCAAGAGAAAGAAAACCAAGCATTAACGATTAAATCCCAGACACCTCCACGCAGGAAAGCACCCACCCTTGCAGATTAGCCAGCAAAATCATTGCCCTCGGCCAGAAGACGCACGGGCCTCACCTTTCAAGCAGTGCAAATGGCGGCTCCCTGAGCCAGCCCGCGCCTCAGGCACAGACCGCTGCATCGTACAGACAGGACAGTCACCAAAGCAGCGATGTCCCTGTAGCAGGCCAGGAGCAAAGCTTGTAACCAGATCTAAACAGCTCCTGTTTTCCTTCATCATTCCTTCCCCCCACCCCCCCCCAGAGAAGGAAGAAAAAGGGCACTGCCAGAATCCAGTCCAATCCCTGGGTAACTGAACCGTCACCGGTCAACCCCAGTCCCACCACAGACGGCACCGCTCTGGCTGCGGACAGGTGCTGCTCTGACCCACCGTTTTGGAAGAGGCAGGGTCAGGCCCTTACGTTTTTACGGCTGACAATAGCTTGTTGCAACCACAGCAACTCCATGATCAAGTGATTTCTGTAGGACTGGAGACCGGACCGAGTTCGAGGAAGCTCCTTTATGTCCTCAAGTGGAATTTCTACAAAGAAACGGAAGAATAACCTATTGTTGGAACAAAGATTCAGACTGCACCTACTGTCTCTCCTGCACTGAGAGACAGTGTATCTCTACGCTCTCCAGGATATTCTCAAGGCTTTGGTTCTCCAAGGACCTACTGGGCCCCCCGCACTCACCACCAGGTCCCCCAGACCACGCAGGAGAGCGCACGCTGCGCGCCGGCTCCCGGCCCTTACCCAGACAGGCTTCAGGGGAATCTGCCTCCAGCATAGCGCCGTCCCACACAGAGGATCCGCTGCTGTCGTTCTGCCAATCCTCGCTCTCTGCTGGGGCGCTGCACCCCTCTCCAGTGCTTTTATCGGCATCAGCCCCGAGATTTGGGGGGCTCACTACGTCACCTTCACCCGCGGAGCTCAGTTCTTTCTCGCTCTGCGGCTGGGCTGTAGGTTTCACACGGCTGCAGCCCCAGTCCCGTTCTGGTTCAGAGGCGTCCAGCTCCTCCTGAGGTTTTTCTGCGCTGGCCTCGTCACTCAGTACAGCCTGCCGCGGACCTGAACGCTTCCCCTGTGTTGGCTTCTAAAGGGGCAACGTGTGAGAGATCGAAATATAAGGAAAAGAAAATATAAAGATCTGAAAGGTGGCTCCGAAGCGGGCCAGAGGCTCCGTCCCAGCCAGAGACCTGCCGTTAGCAGCACTCCTGCCACGACACTGACGTCCTCTGGTTTGAACCATGGCCAACTTCTTAAAGGCTTTTCCTTCCAGAAGTGGTAAAAACATGAGAGAGCGGCGCTCAGCCGCTGCAGGGTCCGACCGTTCAGTACGACCGGCTGAGGTGGGTGCCCGGGGACGAGACCCGCAGGAGTCACCCGCGCAGGTTGGGCGTTCGACTTGAGGCCGAGCTCCACCCGGAGGAAGAAACCCTCAGTCGGGGACTGAGGGGCACAGGTCGGGGACTGAGGGGCACAGGCCCCGGCTCCGTAATGATCGTTTCTAGTTTGGTAGGGTTACAGGTTCCTGGGACTACGCTGCAAAAGTACCGTCTGC